TTTTTGTAAGTTTCCAACCAATCCTTTCAGAGCTTCCTGCCTCCCGCCCAGCCCCTGCTGTCAGAGAGACTCGGTGCCTCCAATTCTGGAGACTGCCTTGAGTTCTGTGACTCAGAACAACTTCCTTCCCCTGTAAGCATCGATGATGAGATCCTTAAAGGCAGTCAGGCACTCCAGTCCTTCCAACTCCCAGAACGTTAGATACATGCGTTCCCTGCTGTAGAAACCTCTGCCATTCCCTTTATCTTTGAAGACAATTGCCCTTGACTGTTAGCTTAGCATGGTTTCAGGAGGGAAGGATGATAAACCCCTGTGTTTAAGCTGTCGTGTTAAATGAGGCGGGACGGGGGGCGCTGATCTTTTTTCTTTTTCTTTTTTAGAGAGTGGATCTCACTCTGTTATCCAAGCTGGAATGCAGTGATGTGGTCATAGCTCATCTCAGCCTTGAACTCCCAGGTTCAAGTGATCTCCCTGTCTCAGCCTTCTGAATAGCTGGGACTATAGCACCTAGCTAATTTTTAAATCTTTTTGTAGAGACAGGGGCTCACTATGTTTCTCAGGCTGGTCTTGAACTCCTGGCCTCAAGGAATCCTCCCACCTCAACCTCCCAAGGTGCTGGGATTACAGGTGTGGGCCATGGTGCCCAGCCACCTCTGGTCTTCCCTCAGCTTGCTTTCATTAAAGAATAAACACATGCCTTGCAAAATGCTTTTAAACATTTTTAAGGAGAAGTTATTGGTGGAAGCGAAGGTCATGAAATCAGAAAAACAGAAGTAATGCATGCACTTAGTGGAAAACTCACAGTAACACAAAACCAGACACACACAGAACACCCACATGGATGAGTCTCAGGCACCACGTGGAGAGGCAAAACCAGACATGTAGGTTCCAGAAGGGGCAATATTAACCTACGGGGCTAACAACAGAACAGTAGCCACCTCTAGGAGTGGGCATTGGGTGGGAGGAAACCCCAGGGAGTCTTCAGGGGAACAGGAAACTTTCTACATCTCATTGTGGGCTGTAACGACACAGATGCATACATACATTAAATTCCACCAAGCTGTATTCTTCAGTTTTTTGTGCACCTTACACACACTGTTGTGGTCGTTTTATACTTCAGTAAAAAAAAAAAGAAAGAATGAAAATCGGAAGGAAATTTACATGTCTTGGTTCTTGCTGTGCGCTAGACCCTGACTTGGTCTGGTTTTAAAAAGTCATTTATTTCATGAGCGCCTACTGTGTCCTATGTACTATCTAGGTTCTGAGGACTCAGCAATGAACAAAAAAATTAGGCACCGTCCCTGCCAGATGGTGCTCACAGTTAGTGCTGGAGCCAGCATCAAATCACCACACACGTGGAAGGAAAGTGACCATGATGACAAGTGAAGGGCAGTGCGAGTGTGTGGAAAAAGGGCTGCGTCCTAGTCTAGGGGGCGAGTCAGAAACGCTTCCCTGAGAGATCAGATGTAGACAGAGGTCTCCGGCTGAGAAGGAATACGCAGCTGAGGGGGAGGCGCTGGGGAGAAGGGCACGTCACGCAAGGGAACAGCATGTGCAAAGACTGAGCCAGGGAGAGGCATGGCATGTTAAAGAGGGCAGGGAGCCAGGCCAGCAGGGCACTGCTGATGTGAGAGAGCAGGGGGCCTGAAAACAACCATGTGCAGATGGGGAAACTGAGGCTGGAGAGGGGAGGCGGCTGCCCCAGGCCCCCAGTAAGTGCAGTAGGGGTTGGAAGCCAGCTTTGTCTGCCCTCTCTGCTTCTGAGACAGAAAGGATGTCTATGGGATTGTGGGCAGGAGAAGCCGTCTGGGTTTTCATCAGGAGCAAGAGGCCAAGCTGTGGCCGCCTATCAGCTGTGCTCATACTGCTGGTATCTCAGCTCCACAGGGCCTGTGGACAGGGCCGGCTATGAGATCCTGCCCTGAAGAGCAGTACTGGGATCCCTTGCTGGGCACCTGCATTTCCTGCAAAGCCATTTGCAGCTGACAGAGCCAGCGCACCTGTGCAGCCTTCTGCAGTGATTTCTGGGGCCTGAACCCAGGAGACGGTGGGATCACCCCCGTCCTTTCCCTGCAGAGCACTCTCTGGCCCCATAGTCAGGTGGCTGAGGAAAGGGTGACAGGAGAAGGTGTACAGTGTGGCATCTGTTATCTCTCTACCTTTCTGCTCTGGTCACACAACCTCCTGAGGTTCACACAATTACCTGAGGTCGGGAGTTCCAGATCAGCCTGACCAACATGGAAAAACCCTGTCTCTACTAAAAATACAAAATTAGCCGAGTGTGGTAGTGCATGCCTGTGATCCCAGCTACTCGGGAGGCTGAGGCAGGAGAATCACTTGAACTCGGGAGGCGGAGGTTGCGGTGAGCTGAGATCGCACCACTGTACTCCAGCCTGGCAACAGCGTGAGACTCTGTCTCAAAAAAAAATTATATGACATCTCAGCTGTGCTTTAAAATATACAAGCCCCCCAAAAAATGTTTAGAAAAGTATAAGGCAGAATTTAAACAATTTGTGAAGCTGATGACCAGTGCAGAGGGCATCACTGTGCTGTCCTCCTTATGTACATGTGTGATAAGTTCTGTAATAAAAAGTTTCAAAAGAAACGACAGACAGTGACAAGGGAGGACCTACTTCTACTGGATGGTCAGAGGAGATCTCTGACATTTGGGCTGAGATCTGAAGATTAGGTAGGAGGGAGCCGAGAAAAGATGATAGAGGGAATGTATTCCAGGCAGTGAGAATAGCATGTGCAAAGGACCTGGGGCAGGAAAGAATGTGGCATGTTTGAGACACTGAAAACAGGTGAGTACCTGACACATAGTAAGTCCTTCATGAATACTTGTTGAGGGGAACTCAGAGAGGCCGAGTAACTTACCCAAGAACACACAATGGAGAAGTGGAGATGTCACAGTGGCATCTTGGTTTGAACCCAGGACTCTGACTCTTAAATCATGGCCTGAACCACTATCGATTAACAAATTAGAACATTCATTCATTCATCCCACACACATAGATGGAGTGCTCCAGCCCCACGGAAACAGGAATCTGGCGTGCCCTTCAAGGACAGTGTCACCTAATGGGAGAAATGACTGTGTGTCAAGGTAGAAGGCCACAGTCAGGAGAGGCCACCTTTAGCTGATGGGCTGGGGAGCAGGGAGATGTCCTTGGAGGAAGCGCCATCAGAGGCAGTTTGTTAAGAGGCCACAGAATGCAGAAATCAGATGAGGGGAAGGTGCCTAGAAGAGAGGGCAACATGAGCAGAGGCGCAGAGGTGGGAAACGCAGAGTAGAGGACCAGGTCCTGGGTGGGGCCGGGGCAGGGTGTGAGGTCAGGCAGGGAGGGCCTGGTCTGGGGCGCTCAGGCACCACCTGCAAAAGCGCCACCTCCAACAGGGGAGGAGGTCACAGAAAGCCCCAAGGACACCACTGCTGGGCCAACCCTGTGTGACACAGAATGGAGGTGTCAGTTTCTGTGCTGTTCAGTGGAGCCCTGGGGATGGGCCAGGGCAGGGCCAGAGCAGGGGAGATCACTGGCTCCATGTGAGCCATCTGAGTTCGCCCCAAGTCCCCAGTTCCGTGATCTTTTAGGGCCTTCCTTTACTCTGTCAAAGGCACAAGGATGGGTGTGTATTTGCTTTGTGAAGAGGCTCAAATGAATATTCTACTCAAGCCTTCCATTAAGTGAGCATTTAGTATGTGCCAGGCACTGCAACTCTGCCAACAACCCTAAGAAGTCAGTGCAGTTATTTTCCATATACTGGATGTGAGGAAACTGAGTCATGGATAGGCTAAAACCACACTGTCTGCAAGTGGTACAGCCGAGATGGCCCCAACGGAAATTTGGTTCTGAAATTTGGGTTCTTATCCACCATCCTGCCTGTGAAATGTGTCCTTCACATATCTGTGTGAGCCACGTTTTCACATAAATACCTTATTCTAAAGACAAAGAAAACGCCATTTTCATGTAAAAACTTTCATGTAGAAATATTCTGAGGCTAGGCCAGGCACAGTAGTCATGCCTGTAATCCCAGCACTTTGAAAGGCCATGGCAGATGGATCACCTGAGGTCAGAAGTTTGCGACCACCCTGGCCAACATGACAAAACCCCACCTCTAATAAAAATACAAAAATTAGCTGGGTCTCATGGTGGGCACCTGTAATCCCAGCTGTTCAAGAGGCTGAGACAGGAGAATTGCTTAAACCTGGGAGGCAGAGGTTGCAGTGAGCCCAGATCACACCACTGCACTCCAGCCTAGGTGACAAGAATGAAACTCCCTTTAAAAAAAAAAAAAAAAAAAAAAATTTTAAGAAATATTCCGAGGCTTTAGATAATTGATTGTTCCAAACAGATTTCTTTACACTTTCAAAGTTGGGTCCACTGTGCTCTCTTAAGGCAAGTGTGATTGGGCTTTAGTTTCTTTGGCTTCTGCACCTTGGCACTGACACCTGTATAAGCTGCTGTAATTCTCACTTAGTCTTCAGAGAGAAGAAATATTATTCATGTGAACTTTTCTACTTTCCTTCCAGCTCCCTCCTCCAACTTGCCAAAGAGGATTCTGGTTTTTCCCCTTCATTCCTTATGCTAATTTGAAATATATTTCTCCTTGATAAGCCTTGAAAAATGCAAGTAAAGGTCTTATGTAACAATGTAATCTAGATCTCAATTTTAAATGATAACTGAAATTCTTCCTATGTTTGGAAACTAAAAAATGCACTTGTAAACAATCCATACGTCAAAGAAGAAGTAATAATGAAAAATAAGTACATTTTGAACTAGAGGAAAAATAGCACACATCAAAATGCAATGCAGCTAAAATAGTACTTAGAGGACAATGCATAGTCTTTCATTTGTATCTTGTAAAAGTACTTGGCTTACTCTGGGATTGCTTTCTGGAATTTTACCATGTTGTTTTTTTTAACTTTGATGTCCTTTGTAGCCAAACCTAGAGCTCCTGCTGGTCTGTGTTACCCAGGAGTATCACACATTTCTGTCTTCCAGGGTTACTCAGCTGCCGCAAGGAGCAAGACAGGTTCTATGACCATCTCCTGAGGCGTTGTGTCAGCTGTGCCTCCATCTGTGGACAGCACCCTAAGCAATGTGCATACTTCTGTGAGAACAAGCTCAGGAGCCCAGTGAACCTCCCACCAGAGCTCAGGAGACAGAGGAATGGAGAACTTGAAAACAATTCAGACCAAGGATCGGGGCACAGAGGCTCAGAAGCAAGTCCAGGTAAGCTATCTGAGGTAAACCTGCATGGTACCACACAGGGTCAGAAAAATGGGAAGTCTGACGCCAGCCCTAGAACAGGAGAGTCCACAATGCATGAAGGCCAGAGTTCAAGCAAATGGCCAGAAGCCAGGGAGGTCATCCCAGGATTAAAAAAAAATGTAGGCAACATTTTCAGAAGTCTGTGGGCAAGAAGAAAGCAGGAGAAAGGACCTGCCATGTGAGGAAGAACCTTGTACTGGAGGCTGCTGAGGCTGTGTGAGTTCTCAAAGCACAGGCACAAGCAAGCAGCAGACCCGCCTGTGTGAGCACCTGAGGAACAGCCACTGCTTGCCTTCCACCAATGCTGCAGACTCCATTTATTTCTATTCTTATTTTATTTATAATTTCAACTTTTATGTTAGATCTGGGAGTGCACATGTAGGTTTGTTACATGGGTATGTTTGGTGTACAAATGGTCTTGTCAGGTAGTGGGATAGTACCCGATAGGTAGTTTTCAGCCCCTGTCCGCTCTCTTCCTCCCAGCTCTAGTAGGCCCCAGTGTCTGTTGTTCCTATCTTGATGTCCATCTGTATGCAATGGTCAGCATTCCACTGAGAAGTGAGAACATTTGGTATTTTCTGTTCCTGCGGTAATCCACTTTGGATAATGGCCTCCAGCTGCATCTGTGTTGCTGCAAAGAACATGATTCTTTTTCTTTGTATGGCTGAATAGTATTCTATGGTGTATATGTGCCACATTTTCTTTATCCATTCCACCATTGATAGGCACCTAGGTTGATTCCATGTCTTTGCTATTGTGATTAGTGCTGTGATGAACATACATGTGTGGGTTTTTTGGGGTGTTTTTTTTCCCTTGGGATACATACCCAGTAATGGGATTGCTGTGCTGAATGGTAACTCTGTTTTAAATCCTCTGGGGAGTCTCCAAACTGCTTTCTACAGTGGTTGAACTAATTTACGTTCCACCAACAGTGTATAAGTATTCCCTTTTCTCTGTAGCCTCACCAGCAACAGCCATTCTTACTGGTGTGAGACGGTCCCTCGCTGTGGTTTTAATTTGCGTTTCTCTGATGATCAGCGATGCTGAGCATTTTCTCATGTTTGGTGGCTGCTTGCATGTCTTGTTTTGAAAAGTGTCTGTTCATGTCTTCTGCCCACATTTTAAAGTGGTTATTTGGTTTTTGCCTTTTGAATTGTTTAACTTCTCATATGTTAAGGATATTAGACCTTCACTGGGTGCATATTTTCTCTCATTCTGTAGGTTGCCTGTTTACACTGTTGATAGTTTGTTTTGTGGTGCAAAATTTCTTTAGTTTAATCAGGTCCCACTTGTCAATTTTTGTCTTTGTTGCAGTTGCCCTTGAGGATTTAGTCACAAGTTCTTTCCCAGGATCAATATCCAGAATGGTATTTTCTAGGATTTCTCTAGGATTCTCATAGTTTAGGGTCTTCATTTAAATCTCGAATCCATCTTGCATGTATGTTCCTCAGGAATGTTGGCCTGTAGTTTTCTTTTTTGTTGTTGTGTCTTTGCCAGGTTTTGGTACCAGAGTGAAGCTGGCTTTGCAGAATGAGTTAAAGAGGAGTCCCTACTCCTTGATTTTTTGGAATAGTTTCAGTAGAATTGGTACCAGCTCTTCTTTGCGCACCTGGTGGAATCTGGCTGTGAATCCATCAGATTTCACTTAGAGGCAAGAGAGGGGAGGCTTCCTAAGAATGAGAAGGCAAAGATATTACTAAAAAGTTTATGTGGTTCATTAGACATTGCCAGAGGAAAAAAAAAATATTGTAAAAAGAAAAGACCTGGCGCAGTGGCTCACACCTGTAATCCCAGCACTTTGGGAGGCCAAGGTGGGCCAATCACTTGAGGTCAGGAGTCCAAGATCAGCCTGATCAACAAGGGGAGACCCCACCTGTACCAAAAATACAAAAGTTAGCCAGACATGGTGGTGCGCACCTGTAGTCCCAGCTACTTGGGAGGCTAAGGCAGGAAAATTGTTTGAACTCAAGAGGTGGAGGTTGCAGTGAGCGGAGATCGTGCCACTGTACTCCAGCCTGAGGACAGAGTGAGACTATGTCTCAAAAAAATAAAAATTAAAAAGAATAAAACATAAAGAAAATGAAAAACTTATGGCTGGAGATGGCCACTTCAGACATGGGAAGAAGTTTCCTGTTGAGCTGGGCATCTGCTAAGTGTCAGGCATCAGAGAGGATCTAATTAATCCTCCCAGCAAACAGCTCGTGGTGCACCTGCCCTGCTCTGTGCCATCAGAAAGGACGGGAGAGGGATGCCGTGTGAATCCATAAACACTAGCGATGGCATTTCCCCTGCTCTCGGTCAGTCCAGGAGAAACAGCAGGCCTGCTCTTCTCAGGGGGCTGATGGGTTCCTTTCCTTTGTAGTGACTTTCCTGTGATAACATTGTTTCCATGAGGCCAGGCCTCAGGACCCAGATCCCAAGGACAGAGCCTATGTGCCTGATGATGAGGTTGCCCAGCACCTCACTGTCCCTGCTTAGCCTGGCATCTCCTGCTCCACAGCCAGTTAGCTGCTGCTGCGTAACAAGCCATCCCCAAATGCGGCAGAGGGGGTGCTTCCTCCTGAGTCGGGGGTTTGGCTGGGCTCAGCTTTACCCAGTTGGCTCTGCTCCATGTGCCTCTCATCCTCCTGGGACCAGTGGGCTGTCCAGGTGTGTCTGTCTCATGACGATACAGGAGCACGCAGCCTCTCCCGCCTAGGCTGGGAACTTGCATTTCATCACCTCCACTGCATCTCTTTCCAGTCACCGTGCCAGAGCACTCAGGGGAGGGGAAACAGACGCCACCTCTTGGTGGCCGAGCAAGCATGGAGGGGGTGGGAATTTATAGCCATGGTGAATTCCAAGGCTGTTTTTAATCTAACACAGTCTCTCCTGAGTGGAAGCGCAGATTCACATGGAGGGGGTGTGGACTCAGAGGAGCTGACGAGCTCAGCCACAGAGGTGAGTGGCTGTGCCTGCCGCCCTGGGGTCTGGCCACCCTCATGCTTTCCCTACATCCAGTGAGGCATTTGAAACTTCCCGCCAAACTGGAAGCTTGCCCACCTCCCTTACAATAGATGCTCCTTCGGGTCGTTCCTACCCACCTCACAGACGGAGAGGCAGTCTCAAATTTGGAGTGACTTGCTGAGAGTCACACAGCTAGTGCATGGCTGAGCTGGGATTTGAGCACAGTCCGGGGATTCCAAAGTTTGCCCCCTCTGCAACAGCAAAATGACCCAGAGTAGCGTCCACAGGACTATTGCTCCTTGTGGGGTGCACTATCACCCGTGGGACAAGGTGTGACCACCAGCCAAGCCTCCTTCCCAGAGGGCACTGGGCAGAACCTCGGAGCCTCATCTTGGCTCCAGGGATGGAGCCCCAGGCTGTGAGCATTGGAGGCCATGTGAGAACGTGTTGGTGCAACTGGGGTCGGCATTACCACGCCTCACCCCGCCTCGGCTGCCACACCTCTGCCTTCGTGCAGCTTTCAGTGGCTCCGTGACTGTCGCTGTGCACTGCCCTGCCCTGCACCTCTCCAGGGGCCCAGGGCTAAGGTCTGTTTTACTCTGTCCTCTGATGCCTGCGTGGGCTGGTAAGGCAGGAGGGGAGCTTGCTGTGAACTGCAAACAGGAAGTACAGAGCCACATGGCCAGGGGAGGGACCCAGAGGTGGACCTATTTGAGGACAGAGAGCAGAGGACACCATGTAACCAAGTTGTCCAGCTGCACACAGTGGAAGGGCTGACCTGTCCTCTGCCCGCTTCGTGGTCTCCCTGAATTCTGCTGCCCCCTCTCCAGCTCTGCCAGACCCCACCTCACCCCAACTCTAGGTTTCTCCTGCATCCCATTCAGAACTGCCACTCATTAGTGGGACCCAGGACTGTGGCAGGCTTGCTGTGCATGGGGAGGGGAGCGAACAAGACAGGTCCTGTCTCAGACCCGTGGAGCTCACTGTCCTGCGAAAGGTCAGGCAGTGGACAGGCCAGGCAGATGACACATTCCTCTTAGTGCACGGGGGCCATGTAACCCAGCCTCAGGGGAGACAGAGACAGGGAGGGCTTCCCCGAGGAGGAGCTTTAGTGCAGGCTGGGGTAGGGGTGTGGAGTGTGTAGCCAGAGCCCTAGTTATGTCCCTCAAACGCTGTGTGGTCTGGAGCGAGCTACCGACCCTCTCTGTGCCTCGGTTCCGTGAGGCTGAGGTTGTTCACCTTCACAGAGTCACTGTGAGGATGATTTGGGAGAATACATTTTGGGGGAGCATGTGCTCTGTGCGCTGGAATTGCTCATTCAAAAAGCGACCATGTTGAAGCCACACAGTGGGAACAGGGTTCCAGGCAGAGGCAGCAGCATGTACAGGTGCTGCTAGTGGCAGGGAAGGCTGTGAGGGGCTCTGTGCTGGAGGCTGGGCTAAATCCCTCCTCCGGGTCTCCCAGCCTACGGGAGTGTGGTGGTCACTCCATAGAAGCAGGAGGGATCCCACCCCAGATCTGCTTTGAAGGTAGAGGCTGATAGCTTCCCCGTGCTCACCAAGAGGACATGGAAAGCCCTGCTGCTCGCACATGGGGCTTCGTGGGGAGGGGAGGGCAGGCTCGCAAGCTGGACTGAAAACAGCTCGAGATGTGAGCAGCAGAGGAGATTGGCGTGGGTTCTGTTGCGATGACTCCAGGCTGACGTGAGGCGCTCCCTGCCTGGGCCCCGGGGCAGGTGCAGGGAGGTCTGCCTCTCCCGGAGGGGAGCAGGTGGCCCAGGGAGCCTTCCCCAGCGGGTGGGATGCTCATCTGTCTGGCAGAGGAGGAGGAGGAGCACCAAGGGCAGGAAACTGTCCCCCACGTGGGGGCTGCAGATTGAGTTGGGAAGAGCAAGCATTCAGGGGTGGCTGGAAATGGCACCAGGAGGGACCAGATAGCAGGTGACAGTGGGCCCCATGTGCCAGGCTGGGAGGCCAATGTCCTGCTGGGGGCAGGGGCAGCCACGGGAGGAGCCC